AACTCTTGCCTCAGCCTCCCGAGTAGCTGGGGCTACAGGCGCCTGTCACAATGCCTGGCTATTTTTTTTTGTGGCAGCCTGTTTAGTTGGCCTGGGCCACTTCGAACCTGCCATCCTTGGTGTTTGTGGCTGACGCTGTAACCACTGTGCTACAGCTGCCAAGCCAAAATAAATTTTTTTTGTTTTGAATTTATTCCTTGGAAGTTGAACTATAAACTCTGTTTTATGGGTTATCATTATGGCAGCTAATAATTTCTGATCTTGTTTTGGAAACTGTACACATTCACACAAGTGAGTCACTATATATGAATTTATTTTAGAGACTGAAAAACATACTTCCATTTTCTTGACACCCAGTGCCTTTTTGCAAGCTGTTTCTTTGTAGCATTCTTTATCTCTGTCTGGCTGATGACAAGAAGATTTAAGGTATATTGTACTTAAAAAGTTAATGTGCTTTTTTTGTTTAGTAAAACAGGCTTGGTGTCATCTACCTGGGATAGACAGTTTTACTTCACACAGGGTGGAAACTTAATGAGTCAGGCCCGTGGAGATGTAGCAGGAGGCCTGGCCATGGACATAGACAACTGTTCAGTGATGGCTGTGGATTGTGAAGACAGGCGATACTGTTTTCAGATCACCTCTTTTGATGGAAAAAAGTTAGTATTTTTTTCTACTATTAATAATATCTATCATATTTTAAACTCCTGAACTGTAGGATAATTCTTTTTTGTTCAGGAATGTTTTTGACATTTTAGACTTACATATTAAGGTTATATGCTTCTTAATTTTGTAGGAATGTATTGAAATTTTGCTTCTGCTTTGGTTAAATGATTTCTTAATATTTTGAGGTTGTCAAAGCTAGGCCAAATGATAAAGATCTGTGATTTCATATTAAGAGAGTAGGACTGAAAATCTTGCATAGAATAGGAAAGACAGTAGAAATTACTGGAAAGAGACCCAACACTGGGATCAGAAAGTTCACATTCTGGATTTGTTACTTACTGTGTGGTCTTAGGCAAATAACTTGACCCCTCTGACCTTCATTTTTCTACATGTAAACTGTAGGGAGGGGGGTTATAATCCTAACTTTGTAAATTTCTATTATGAGGAATGTAAATCTAAAATATAAATGTGCCTAACATACAGCAAGTGCTAACAATAGTGTTAGTTTGTTTTAAATGTCAGTCAGATATTTCTGATCATACTATTTTGTTCACTAATGTTTAGAATGCCATTTAAAAGCATTTCTATTACTTTTGCATTAAATAAGAATCTTTAGGGTGGCACTCAAAGCTCAGTGGGTAGGGCGCCAGCCACATACACGGAAGGTGGCAGGTTCAAACCTGGCCCAGGCCACCTAAAATAACAATGACAACTGCAACAACAAAAAAAATAGCCAGGCATTGTATCAGGCACCTGTAGTCCCAGCTACTTGGGAGGCTGAGGCAAGAGAATCACTTAAGCCCAAGAGTTTGAGGTTGCTGTGAGCTGTGATGC